TGGAGTTGGCATTGGTTCGTGTGAAGTAAGTAGTATGCTGCTGCTTACAGTTTTGAAGAGTTGACCACCCTTTAGAAACACATACGTGCTAAACAAGTGCTGCAGAAATTGTGGAAAATATTTTTCTCCCCCTCTGAGTTCTGCCAATTTTCTTAACTTCCAAGTTGTACTACTTGTTGTGTCAGTCAGCTTAGAGATGGAAGGTTGTTAAATGCCTGGCAGCTGGCACTGAGATAGAAAACTTAGGACCAGAATTTCTTTCTTTCTTTTGTTTTTGATGGAGAATGGAGAGAGTAGCTAGATTAACCATCTAATTTAGCTCTCAGTGGTGGTTTGAACTGGAATACTAACTCAAGAGGCTTATTTTATAATTTTGTGATTTGAGGTAGAACTCTTTTTCACTTCAGGACATGAAATGAAACAACAGAGTGTACAGCATTGATAGCATCATAAGCGATTTTCTGGTATTGCAAAATTACAAGTTTGTATAAGGAGTATTTATTGACTTTTGTAGAGATGATTAAATTATAATTACAATAGGGAAAATCTAGTTCACTTACACTTTTGAAAATTATTTAATGATTGAGGGACAAAGAATTTAGACATCCCCAGGAATTGAACATACTTGCTAGTTATTTTTCAACTCCTAGGTTTTAAGAAGACATTTAAAGGAAAAAAAATAGCCCTAACCGGTTTAGCTTAGTGGATAGAGCGTCAGCCTGCGGACTGAAGAGTCCCAGGTTCGATTCCGGTCAAGGGCATGTACCTTGGTTGCGGGCACATCCCCAGTAGGAGGTGTGCAGGAGGCAGCTGATCGATGTTTCTCTCTCATCGATGTTTCTAACTCTCTATCCCTCTCCCTTCCTCTCTCTAAAAAATCAATAAAATATATATTTAAAAAAAAAAAAAAGGAGAAAATACACTCTCAGTGTGGTAGTTGTAAGTAGTGTTTCATTGGTGCAGAGCTCTCCATTAGCTGATTACAGGAGCAGTGGTTCTCAACCTTCTGGCCTTTTAAATACAGTTCCTCATGTTGTGACCCAACCATAAAATTATTTTCGTTGCTATTTCATAACTGTAATGTTGCTACTGTTATGAATCGTAATGTAAATATCTGATATGCAGGATGGTCTTAGGCGACCCCTGTGAAAGGGTCGTTCGACTGCCAAAGGGGTCGCGACCCACAGGTTGAGAACCGCTGGTTTAGAGGAAGCATAAGTTGACTTATTTTTGTTAAATAATGACATATTAGAACTTATATGTAAATATTATTGATATCATTTAAGCGATGATTTAGAAGTCACATTAAAAAGTTTCCCCAAAGTTTTGCCTGGGAAAGACTTACCTAATATGGTCTAAAATTTTAATTATAAGGGAAAATAAATGCAATTGCATAGAAATATGTAAAAATTTCCTGTTGGACTGAAACAGCTAACTGGGGCAAATATTTGTAGCATGCTCGACCAAAGGCTGGCAGAGAACTCCAAAAAAATTGGTTAAAAAAAAGATGAATAACCCAGTAGAAAAATGGGTAACACATTCACAAAGAAATGCACACGATTGAGCTTAACTCATCTTCACTCTTTTATAAAGAAACACAAGTAAAAATAACATGCTGTCTTCATCTATCACATTACTAACAAGATGGGTAGGCAGTACTCAAATAGATTGAGGAGATGATGGGGGAAGAGGATGCTGCTTCCCTGCTTGGCACAATATTTTTTAGTCATTTCTAGAAATTTTTCTGCACAGAGTTGGTCTGTACAGTGAGCAATACCCGTTGCTATAAGGTTTGCAATTCTAAAAGGTTGGAGTCATTCTACACTTTTATCAGAAGAGCCCTAGCTGGTTTGGCTCAATGGATAGAGCATTGGCCTGTGGACTGAAGGGTCCCAGGTTCAATTCTAGTCAAAGGCACATGCCTGGGTTGCAGGCTCGGTCCCCAGTAGGGGGCGTGCAGGAGGCAGCCAATCAATGATTCTCTCTCATCATTAATGTTTCTATTTCTCTTTCCCTCTCCCTTCCTCTCTGAAATCAATAAAAATATATTAAAAAAAAAAAAGAAGGGAACTGATTAAAAAGTACTTGCGGAATACTATGCAACCATGAAAAAAGTGAAGTAGATTTATATGTACTGACAAGAAAAGGTGATCTGAATATTTTGTTTAAAAACAAGCTAATTGTTCATATAGTATGCTGCAATTTCTGTTTAAAACAAAAAAAGACATACATATAGATGCATAAACATGTCTCGAAAGGTTACACAATCATTGAATAGTGGAGAAAGATGGAGAAGGGCTCTTAAGTGAATAGGCAAGGTTTTGTGAGGAATTTTACTTTTCATTTTATGTCAGTCTTACGGTTAGATTGTTCTTAAAAACTAAAAGCATGTATTTTTGTAATAAAAATCTAGGAAAAATTATTCTTGTGTTTTTAGTTCGTTTATATTTTTTGTTTTGGGTGTGTGTGTGTGTGTCCCCTTTCTGAAGACCTGGTTGCTGTACATCCATTTTTGGGGGGCTTTGAAACACAGTTTCCTTATTTGTGACTAAATAATCACTTTTAAAAAAGGCAAATCTCAAAACAAAACTAGGGTTTTATATAAGAAGGAAATAGTTAATTTTTAAAAGGAGTTGTTTTTATTTTTTTGCTGATTACTTTTTCACTTTGGTAAACACTTTTATGGTCTTTTAAGATTCATAACTTAAAATATTGTGCTTTGGGGGTGGCAAGGCAATAAAAGGTGATCGTTATTAGAATTAAGATGGATAAAAATTTTAATTAACTAATTTATTTAGGGTTGATTTGTTGGCCTTTCTTTGAGTATTTTGATTTTCTTTACAGACCGGAGGTTATTATATAAAGATGTGATACTAAATTACTTTTAGAATTGGATGTTTTACTTATTGGTGATGGTACATTTTACTGAATGCATTTTCAAGACTAAAGTAATTAATACATAACAATTTTGAATCAGGTATTACACTTTTTTTGCCTTTTGATTAATGGAAAAAGTACATAAAAGAAAATTTGAAACGATGCATATGTATTTTTTATTTTTTATGTGAATTGCGATGTGATTTCCTTACAAATTGGGTTTTGAAAGTGAGTTCCTCATCTGTGTTCAGCATTGTTCTGAGGAAAGTTAGGTTTTCAATTTTAGCTGAACAGATCTTGGGATTTGTTATAATACTTAGTTCTCTGATGGTTAGTATTGGTTCAAATCTAAAGTATTCAGGAGACAATACTTTTGTAGCTATATAAGATTTCAACAATACTGGAAGTTGGAATTGCAGATGTGGATTAAGAAAGCATTTCTACTCTTCTTCAATCTTTTTAATTTCTTGCCACACACTTGTATTCTGAGTACACCCTTGGATTGTAAAAGAAAAGGCCATTCCTATTGTTTGTTTGTTTGTTTCCCCCAGCTTTGCATTTAATTTCATCCCTTTGCAGATTTGAGACTTTGATGCCTTTCCTTTTAAAAACTATAGGATGCCTGTGGAATATGTGTTTTAATAGAAGAAATACTGCAATTAATTGAGCAAGTCAGGTTATAATTGTCTTGAGTATGTCCTGGCCGGTTTTTGAGATGTTTATCCTGGGCCTTTTTTCTTTTCACAATGGATAATCAATTGCTTTCAATTCTAACTCCAAATGTTTCCTTTGGAAAGACACAGACCAGCATATATTTTCTGCTCACACTCATATTAAGAGAGTTCAATTAATGTATGATTTCAGCTAGTAATATGTTCAGTGAACTGGACGGCAGTGGAGGAATGACTGATGTTTTCTTGTAAGAAAGCTATACCTTTGAAAAATTACACAGGTGGCCCTGCCTGGTGTGCCAGTTGCCTGTGCACCAGGAGGTTGCCAGTTTGATTCCTGGTCCAATTCCTGGTCTGGGTTGCATGCTCCATT